CGACTATCTGATGGACTCAAGTTATAGTGGCGATACTGGGAATCCTCCACTTACCACTTTAGTGACCGTTGCGAGTTAAAACGGCCCAGAAAAGAGTGACTTACGCCTAGTCCTCACCCTTATGACTGGTAGCATCACTATGGCCATGTGATCGAAACCCAAGAGTTTGGCAACTGGCATGGATGTATTGCAGAATCCAGGGATTCAAATGATTAAAATCTGCCACCTTCCCACAACCAAAGTCATTGGAGGAAGCCAGATTTGCTTAATGGCCACATATAACAGCTACAGGAAAAAAAAAAAAAAAAAGGCGATTCAGATGCAACTGACTTAGGAAGCTTTGCTGAGGGATGGAAATCCCAGTCCCAATTTGTGGTTGTCATCGAGGACTGAGAGGCCCCGGAAGGACATCTACGGCCTGCATTCCTTGTGCTTTCTAGGGAATTCTGGGAGTTGGAGTCCAGGCTTGCTTAAAAGTTGTCCTGGTTGAGAAAACCTGATCTACGGGGTTGCTAATGTTGAGGCCACGTCCTCAAGAGCCTCCTTTGCTTTCCAAATCTCCAGCCTGCTTCCGGATGAACCCACCTCCCTGCCCAGCTCCAGCAGCAGGAGAGCTGGGGTGCTGCCTGAGGAGAAGCAGTTGCCCCACCCTAGGCAGGGCTTCCTGGGGTTACAACCGGTCGCCTCTTGGAGGGAGAACGAGGAGGGGTCAGAGCCCTGGCAGATGCTCCCCGGCCATGACCGAAGGAAGGAAGGGAGCCTGGTCTTTCTCTGGCTTTTTTAATTGATCCAATATTTACACTCTAGGAAAACGCCTAGCCACTCGGTTGGGGTGCGCAGCTCAGCACCCCAAATCCTGGTGTGAAGAAGGACTGCCGGCCGCTCCCCCCACCCCGGCCGGCCTGGATCCGGATCCTGGAGGTGGCCCAAGGAGCGCCCCACCCCGGCTGTCCTGAAGGGCGGCGGGCGGCTACTTCTTGGGGGCGGTGGAGACCTCCACCAGCACCCGGTTCATCTCCCGCAGCCGGGCGTCCAAGGTCTCCAGAGTCAAGCTGAGCTCCGTCACCTGCTCCTGCAGGCCCAGCAAGGTGCTGCTCAGCTCCTCCTCCTTCTTCTTGGAGTTGCTGCTCTGGCGGGAGTATTCCAGGAAGATGCACAGCCCCCCCACCCCAAAGACGATGGCCTCGCCCAGCAGTTCGGCCCCCAGTTCCGCAGCCGCCTCCTCGTTCAGCGGCTTGATGGCAGAGCCCCGGAAGCCCATGATCCGCATCTTGGCCCGCATCTCCACCCAGTGGTAGACTGCAAGAGGGGAGAGAGAGAGAGAGAGAGCGGGCGGGCGGTGGGCGTTGATCTGCAGGGGTCGCCGGCCCAGCCAGCCCGGAAGGCCCCGAAACCCCTCCTTCCCGTCAGTGGGGTGGGCCCTGCCGCCAGCCCGGGAGCAGCAGCAGAGCAGCCGGCCGGGGCACCGGGAGGCTGGCGGGGAGCAGGGCCGAGTCCGCAGGGCCAGGGTCCCGGGTGGGCAGCGGCCTCCTCCGCCGGCCCCCCGCGCAGGCTGCGCGAGCCGAAGGGGGCAGCTGGGAGGGGACCGCAGGCGCTCAGGCACCCCCGAGACGCCCGCGTGGGGGGGGGGCGGGGGGGTTTCGGTCCTAACGAGGGGGAAGCGCCGAGCGAACCGCGGCCGCTTCCTTCTGCCGGGCCAGGCAACCTGGGGAGGACCCTCTTCGGACGTGCCAAACGTCCCTGAGCCAGAAGGCCGGCGCCCATCTCTGGCCTCCGCCCTTCCAGGTAGACTGCTCCAAGCGCTGGAGGCTCGACGGCCGCAACCACGTGCCGCCGCAAAGTCACCTTCCTCGCTCGGCGCCTGCGCGCCCCAGCCCGCGCTGTCCCATTGGTCGTCCCCGCCGCGAGCCCCGCCCCCTCCCGCTTCCCATTGGCTGCCCGCGCGCGGCGGGCTGCTCCCGAGCCGCTTACTCACGCTGTGCGGGGGGACCACAGATATACTGGCGGAAGAAGGGGCTGGCGCGCGCTCCGTCCTTGATGCGCGCCGCCAGGGGCTTCGAGAGCTGCCGGACGCCCAGGTAGAGCAACTTGGCGATGGGGAAGGCGCCGGCCACCATCCTCGCGCTCCCAGCGGCCCCCGCGCGGAGCGGCCCGCCAACGTCGAGCGCGCTGACTCCGGCACGCTCTGCGCGCCCCGCCCTTTGCGTAGGCCTCTGGCGTCACCCGCGTATGCAAATGCACCTCATGAATATGCAAATGTGCCCCTTCCCACGGTCTCTCCGGCCGCGTTAGGGGTGGGGCCTGTGCTCAGGTACTCAGGAATGCCTAAAAGGCGACGGTGTCCTTTCCAGCGCCGAGGCAGGTAGCGGCGGGCCGGCCTTCCCTTCTTTGCTTCCCCCTCAAGCCCCATCCCCGAGGGGAAGGTGTGCTAGCCCGCTTCCGGTGTAAACTCGTCATAGAGACGGCGGGGCGGGTGGCCCTTGGTTTGTGGACCATAGAGATACAGAGCGGAGCGGCCCGCCCGCGGGTGCCCTCCTGTTTTTTCTGCCCCCGGGGGGATCCCGAAAAGCCCCCCCCCCCCCCCCGGGTGAAGGTTTGGGTTTTGAGTGGAGGGCCGGAGAAGAGCCTGCTGCAGGAGGCGGGACTCCAAGGCCCATCGTCCTGGGCCAGGAGCCGCGGTGAATCCTTGCTCTCTGCACCACCCCCACTGGCGGCCTGCAAATGGGCTGCTGGGGGGGGGGGTCCTTGGTGGGTTTTCTTGCAGACGTTTCGTGACCCAACTAGGCAATGGCATGAGTGCCCAGGCAACCAACCTCGCAGTGCACTGCTGACGTTGCCTCGTTGGGTCACCAAACGTCTGCAAGAAACCCCACTGAGCTCAATCCTGAGCTGCCAAGGCTCGCTGAAATGGGCTGGTCTTGGGTTCAGGTTCTGTTCATGAAATGAGGCTATCCTGCATTACCTGGCAGGAAGTTTAACTTCCGGCTGAGTAAGTCAACCTGCTCAGGAAAGCAATGAAGCGAGAATAAAGGCAGGCCAGGGAGAGTAATGAGGCGAGGAGGTGGGTGGTGCCTGGACTTTGCAGCTTTGGATCCTTGGTAGAGCCCTGCACCCTCCCCGGGAGGCCTCTGCCGGCTTTTTCTGGCCAGGGGATTGACCACACGCTCGTCCCTCCCCACGGGGTCACCCAAGAGCCTGGGAAGGCAGATTGCAGGACTGTGGTTAGGGGAGAAAGGAGAGTCAGGGCACCCTGACATTAAATCCCTTTTCTCTCTGCCTTTTTAGGGGCTGCCACCTTCTGTGCCAGGAGAACTAATTGACCCCCTTGGAGGGAGAAGCTGCCAAGCGAAATCACCGAGCAGAGAAAGAAAGCTTAGTTCCAAGATCATCAGACACCCAGGACTTCAACACGACTCGGTTTGTTGGGAAAGTCTGGGGAATTTATGACCTCCGATGTGCACCACAGCCCTTCTGGCGTGAAATGTCCAGGGCGATTTTCAGTCATCCAGGTCATGGTTGTCCCAAAGGGGCTTTTCCAAAAGGACTTTCTTGGTTTTTTTCTTCCTTGAAAACGTTTCACTTCTGAAGAACTGAAGAAACTTCTTGGATGGGAAGCAAAATGTTTTCAAGGACACCCCCCCCCCCCAAGAAAGTCCAGTTGCCTTTTGGAAAAGCACCTTTGGGACACGCCAGAGTTAAAGTTGGACTGAGGCGGTTCAGGTCCCAACGCTGGGAAAGTCAGAGGAGCCGACCTCCCTTTGCTCTGCCCTTCATGCGGGTGACGGCGTCCTCTTATCGGCATTCCAGCAGCAGCCGGAGGATCCAACCAAGAGAGAGAGAGAGAGCTAAATAAACAGCACATTCGCCCTCAGAACATCTGAGGTTTCAGGGAGGGGGATAAGCCCTCCTTCACCAGGAGGGATGGCGCTCCTCCCTCCTTGTCCCTGTGGAGGCGGGCGTGCTTCCTCCTCCTCCTCCTCCGGCCTCCCCTCCGGCCTCTCCTGTTTATTCCCAGGAGGCCTCTCCGTCCAGGGGTCCTCCTTGGTGAGGCTAAGATGAGGCTGTTCTCATCTCGGAAAGAGGCTGATGGCCATCCTTCTTGGTCAGGCATTCCTGGAACAGAGAGTCATCTGGGGGGCAACTGGCCAGAAGTCCCCATTGACTTTGGACCGAGGGAATTTTTGGAAGCAGCTGACACGCCTTGTATCTTGTCCCAGACAGATTGTAACACTACATATATGTGGTAAATTTAGCTGATCTGGGGGAAGAAATACTATTCTTACATCGTTTCTGATGACATAGATTAATACCCGTCCCACGCTCATTCATAAACATGCCCTGAAGGAATAATTCAAGTCCACCCTTCCATGAATTCTGATATAATCCAGCTGTGAATGTGAGAGGGAGCCACGGAAGCAGGTCAGCTGACTTCTCATGCAGGCTGGAACCGAGGGTCCCACCCAGACAGAGCAGCCGACAGAGGCAAACATGCACTGGTCTCTCTCTGCAAAACGGGAAGCAATTCCAGATTCTCCTATTCTAGTCCCTTAGCCGCCCACGGAGGGCTGCCCTCTTCTGGGAGGAAGACCGATTCCTCCCGCTCTCCCCTTTGGGGGATGGATCAGGCCAGGCTGAGGCTTCCTTATGTGGCAACCAATCACGGCCTCTGGCAACGTTCCATTAATTACCCTTCCAGAAACTCCCTGTGTTTCCTGTCCTGACTAGGAGATGGGAAACTATAAGAGGCTAAGGAGAAACAGACGCAGGGGGTTGTTTTTATCTTCTGGGGTTCGAAGGGGCCCTGGGGAAGCATCTGGGCACGGAGGACTGCTCGCCCAGGTTGGATCCGCGCACTTCTTTCAGCTAATTCTCTGGTTTAAAGAAGCATAAATTGGACAAGGAGAGAAACCGGGGAGTCCCCAGCCTTTTTGTGTGGCACCGGAACCAGCGTGTGTATTGCAACTTAGGGCTCAAACCTTATTGCTGCTGCTTCTCTAGATGAGAGAATTTATCCGTTACCTCCGGAAACCTTTACCTGGTGCTGTCCAGAGGCCAGAGGGTGGCAGCTTCCAGAGTCATCAGCAGCCCTTTGACCCAGCTGCCTGGAAATCGAATGGAGGAAGAGGAAGGCTGCTCTCATGGAAGTGGCTGGTTTGGAGCCGTGCAAAAACCGTGAGGGGGAAGAAGGCCCAGAGCGAGCCCTGTGCCGGGGCCCACGTGCCGCTTTCTCATAGGAGGGGAACGCGCAGAAGGGATGGAGAATAATAGGGTCAGGGTGGTTTTTATACCCTTAAATGGTAAGTGGTGTCACATGGTGTCACACAGCTCACGTGGGAGGCCCGTGGGAATGAGCGTGGCTTTACTGTTTGTGTTAGTAAGTTATGGGAACTTACAGGGAACGCCTGGCTGGCCTCACCACGTCAAATCTGGCCGTATCCCCGGCTCCTGTCTTTAAGTGACACAACATGGCCTCCGTGAGGAGGTGCTGCTATGCCTGACAATATGAGGGGGAAATTGCGTTCCTTGCTGTAGCGTGGATGGTAAAGAAATGCCTGTGAGGCGGTTTGTTTGCCTGGTAGCGCTCGGCGCAGGCCAGGTCTGGTTCTAGGTGGAACGGGACAGAAACCTGCTCAGACACACACGGCTGTTTTTAAAGGGTTGTAATATAATGACTGGCTCTTAAGGAATCCTCAGGATGCTGCGTGGCAGAGACTGGCGGCTCCCCCAGGAACAGTCACCGGTTAAAAGTCAGGACCTTCAGGTGGAGGTCCTCGTGCCCCACCCCCAACCCGCCGGCCTGCGAGGAGGGGGGCAGCGGGAAGGCCAGGGGCTGCCGGCAGAAGAGGCTCCTCTTGGTGGACAGAGGGGTGTCGAGGGTGAGCGAGGCGCTGGCCATCTCCTGGGGCTTGGAGCTGGTGAGGAAGCGCACCAAGGTGGAGAGGGCCTTGGCCACATCGCTGCGGGCGCCCTCGTTGGCGAAGCAGTAGAGGATGGGGTCGGCCACGCAGTTCAAGCTGGTGAAGGCCAGGGAGGTGTGGTAGGCCACGAAGACCTTCTCCTCGAAGCCGCAGTCTCCCGGCTTGGTCAGGTAGACGGTGCTGCGGGAGAGCAGGATGAGGTGGTAGGGGGCGAAGCAGAAGAGCAGGATGGCGATCAGGCTGAGCGAGAGGCGCTTGATCTTGGCCTTCTCCTGCTTCTCGGTGGAGACGTTGCCGCGCACGGCCCGCAGGATGCCCTGGTAGGAGAAGAGCATCAGCACCCAGGGGAAGAGGAACCCCAGGAAGACCCGGTAGAGGTTCATCCAGGCCACCCACTCCTCCATGGGGTACTTCTCAAAGCAGAAGGTGTGGTTGTAGCGGTCGTGGAAGAGCTCGTCGTGGAACAGCGGGGCGGAATTGGCCCCGATCTCAATGGCCCACACCACCGCGCTGACGGCCACTGCCGTCTTGACCCTCCGGAACCTGGCGAAGCGCAGCGGGTGGGCCACGGCCAGGTAGCGGTCCACCGAGATGCAGCAGAGGAAGGCGATGCTGACGTAGATGTTGGTGTAGAAGATGAACCCGAAGAGCTTGCAGGATTCCTGCCCGTGGATCCAGTTGTCGTAGTGGAGGAAGTAGTCGATCCAGAGGGGCAGCGTGGCGATGTAGAGCAGGTCCGCGATGGACAGGTTCATCAGGTAGACGCCCAGCTCGTTCTTCTGCCTGACCTGCAGGTAGGCCGCCCAGAGCGCCATGCAGTTGGTGGGCAGCCCCACCGTGATGACGATGATGTACAAGGTGGGTGGGAAGAGGTGGTCTATCTTGGAGTCCACGGGGCAGCTCCAGCTGGCTTGGCTCGTGTTGCACATCCTGCGGGGGGTCCGAGCTCACAGCAGGAGTTTGCGTGGCTGGCTGTGGGGTCTCCACAGGACCACGCAGGCTGCCGAAAGGAGCTTCCTGGAGCTGCCACGAGGAAAGGTCTCCATCCTGGCCCCCTCAATGGCCCGGCTTTCGCTGCCGTCGCCCTGGTCTCCGGGCTGGCCTATCGCCCCCTGGCCTTTCCCGGCTTTCCAGACCTGGGGGGAGAGAAAGAGGCGGGTTGAGCCTGGCTGTCTTTTGTGTGCGGAGCCTCAGCCGCAGAGAAACTCCGTGGGCCAGGGAGCAGAGGAGGGCGGGAAGCATGCCAGGGGATGGGCTTGTACAAGGAAAACCTTTCCTGGATGTTGAGCCTTAAAATTAATAATAAATAAATAAATAAATAAATAATAATTAATAATAAATAATTTTATTGCGAGGAGCATCAAGTCCAGCCCCCGCTTGTTCAGTGCGGGAACTAAAACTGAAACTTTTCTGGCCAAGGGCTGCTCAGCCTCTGCCTGAACACAGCCTGCATCCCCCTCAGAGGAGACCCTGACGCACGCCCCCCACCCCCGCCTTGGTTGTTTGGATCCACCCTCAAATTGGTCACACTCTGAGGGAACCTGTCCATGTTTATTTGGGATGGTAAAGAAAAGGTGTGTTCTTACTCAATAGTATCCTGTCCCTCCCTTTTTTCAAGGCTGAACGTCTGGGGTCCTCGGTGCTCTCTGAGCTTGGGGGTTCCTTTGCAGACATTTCATTACCCAACTAGGTAACATCATCAGTGCTAGTAACTAGGGAGTTTGTTCCCTAGCTTGCCCTGTCTTTGTTGTTTGGGGTGTGATGGTAATGAAACATCTGCAAGCAAAGCCTCCAGCTCAGAGAGCACCAAGGACCCCGCAGTTCTCCTCCTCCTCCTCCCCCTCCTCCCTTTTAGCAGTTGGGTAATGAAACGCCTGCCTGAAAAGCGGAGGGAGCACAAGGACCCCACCCTTCCACCTGGAGCTACACCTGCTGTCTCTCCGGAAGGCCAGGCACATCCTCCGGGTCTCCTGGCAGAACGTGGATTCCAGGCCGGACGTTCCACACACACACACACACACACGGGCCTTTGAAAATGGTTGCGCAGCTTCTGGGGAGAGCTGGGAAGCCGAGACGTCCTGTTTCTCAGGGCCGGGAAAAGAGCCTCCGAGAACAGGGGGGTCATTGTCCTGAAGCGTCTCAAGGCACAAACACGGCTCTTGCTGCCTGGGAAAGCCCATCCCTTCGTCCGTCCAGACCGGGGAGCCGTTTCTCAAGGAAGGGCAGGTTGGCTCTGCGGAAAAGACTCCTGAAAAATTCATGTTGACCTTTTGGGGACGCTTCATCCTCCTGGCTGGAGCTGGAGGTCACGAGGACCCCCTCCCCTGCCAAGAAGGTTCCCGGATGCCCCCCTGCCGGGCTCCAAAGGGCAGAGAAGGAAGCAGGCAGGCTGGTGCGGCAGCAATGAGGCTCCTGCCAGCCCAGCCAGGATGTGGGAAGGAGAAGCGACGCTCTCCATTGTCCCCAAATGAAGAGTCACGCCATTCCAAGCCACACCTGCCGGGGTCCCTGGGCTCCAGCCCCTCTTGCCCTTCCACCGTGTTTCTTTCCCCAGGGAGGTTTCTGGACGGGGGCAAGTAGAGCTTCATCCTGTTGACAGCAAACCGGGAACAAGACGGCCGTGTGCATGCAAGGCGCTTGGATGGGGTGCAGGTACTTGAATGCACTTCGAGGAGACTCCAGCAGAGAAGTGAATGGGCCTGAAACCTCTGCCCAAGGGAGAAGGGGGGGAGGGGGTCCCTGGAAAAAGGACCGGTGCCACGAGAAGCAGCGGAGGGAAACTGACCAGGGAGAGAAGCAACCGGGAATTAGGAGGAATGGATCCGTGGAATAGCTTCCTTCCAGAAGTTTTGGGTGCTGCAACACTGGAGGCTTTCAAGAAGACATTGGACCTCATTTGGTCTGGAGTAGTAGGGGGTCTCCTGCTTGAGCAGGGGGTCAGACTAGAAGACCTCCAAGGTCCCTTCCAGCTCTGTCATTCTGTTATTTTGTTCATGTGGTCTCCGTCAGCTTCCTCCAGCTTCCGTGACCCTTAGCCATCCCAATCCCTCTCTGTTCCGTAAGGCCCCCTGGGCATCGAGAAGGGAGCAGGACGGGGCTCGGAATCCCAGCGGGCATCCTGGGAAGGGGGGGGGGGCTGGTGCAAGCAAGGATGGCGGCGGGGCGAGAGGGGTGGTTATACGAGGAAGGAGGAGACGAAGGATTTGCCCCTCTTTTTCCAAACCCCCAAAGGTATTTCTCTTCTGAACAAAGGTTGACTTCCACCAGCAGTTCAGCTGCTCCCCATCGAGGGTCTTCCTGGAAAGGGAGGCCCTGCCTGCCTGTGGGAGAACCCTTCACCCCCCCCCCCCCAAGAACAGCCAACTGCGGAGGATCAGGGGCTCAGGTGGAGGTGGGGCACCAACCGGCCGAGACTTCTTGTGGGCACGTCCACCCAGCATTATCCAGGACCCGCAGGAGGATTTGGGTGCGCTGCCGGGGGTGGGTGGGTGGGATTTGCTGTACATTTGGCGGAAAAGTCCAGTGGGTCAAACCCTTCTGCCAGGGGGACCTCCTGTTTGTGCAAGGAGTAAAAGGAGGTCAGGGTAGATAAGGAAGGAGCCTGGCAGATCCTTAAAATGTCCTCCACGTCTCCCACCCGAAAGGCTTCGGCTCGGCCTTTTCTCCACTTGGGGTTGCTATGGAGAGGAGGGGAGATCGAAGGATTTTCCGTGGAAATGGTACTTTTTGGCTTTTGTGAACAATTCACCCGTGGAATGGCTTGCCACCAGAAGTTGTGGGGGCTCCATCACTGGAGGTTTGCAAGAAGGGACGGGACAGCCGTTTGTCTGGAATGGTATAGGGTCTCCTGCTTGAGCGGGGGGGGGGGCTGGACTAGAGGACCTCCGAGACCCCTTTCCAATTACGTTATTCTGCTAAACAGCAGCGTCTTTGCTGGGTAATCCAAGCAACCGGAGGCGAAGACCCAGGAACCGACCCCTAGCAAGCAGCCGCCTCGGCCCTCTTTGCTCTGAGCCATCACCAGGCGGAGGGGAAGCCCAGCCAAGGGAGGGAATCGTCGTCCTGGGGTGCTTGTGGGGAGGGGGGGGGCAGACCCAGCCCTAAGGAAGAGGCTGTTCTTGTGCAAGCAGGTGGCTTGGCTGAAGGCGTCCCCCCCCCACACCACAGTCCAGACTGACCACGGTTGGACGACCCAGGGCGCCTACAGCAGGGTGAGGCTAGAGATCGCTGGGACCAGGCAGCTGGAGCACCCACCATAAGTGGGCAAGCAGAGCACACTTCTAACCGTTCACACGCACGGGTGCCAGGCAGACCCTGCGCGGCATAGCTAGAAGCCCCCCAGAATACACAGGGAGCCCTTAACTCTTCCTTTAGTTACA